GGGAAATATAATTTATTGCGTGAATTTTCTAGGCGACTAAGCGGTGAACCTTATAACGTTTAACACTTAGCTCTAGGTGCGTCGTTTACCATGCATGTACTTTACATGTATGTAAACTATCTAGAAGTTGATTTCTAGATATATTTAGATCTAAATATATGTATAGAAGAAGGAAGCATTAGTGCGGGACCTGGCACGAGCCGTCTGGACAAACAGCTGCAGGGTTCTTCCACTGGTCCAGTCACTGCGGCGCTGCTGAGTGAATCCGAGAATTTTCTTTGCTGCTCCATAGACGGATTTCTTCAGTGATGACCACTTGCTGCTGCCATTGTCGTTGGCTTGGGTCGTAAAGTGGTACCGTATTTCTATGCTTAGAGCCTCGGTAGTTCTGGATTGCCATCGTTTTGCGACGTCCAGGTGTCTCCCATGTGGTATTTTGGTGCAGATGAGAGATGAACCTTCAGGCGGGTGCGAACGAGAACATGGTCAGACCCGTGGGCGTTGTCAGTTTCGGCACCTCGCAACGACCTGTTATCATTGAATCCAACTGCGAAACCCTGAACCAACTAGAATGTTATCGATCTGACTAACGATACGGCCGTCGTTTGTGTACCATGTCAGTAGATTTTTATGACGATACTGAAAGCATGTGTTGATAACAAATGGTCGGTTCTGATCAGAAAACTGCAGCATCCTCTCACCATTGTTGGATCGAGAACCAAGCCCAAAAGATGATTGTTTGACGGGTCACCGGACCCGCTCTGGCCATTCCAGTCCCCCGGCGACAACAGATCGCGGCTAGGAAATCTTTCAACTGGCTCCTGTAGTTAGGAGTAGAAGTTCTCCTTATCTTGCTGTCCGGCCGCTGATGTTGGTGCATTCACAGAGACGACAGACAGGTTCGTAAATTGACTTTTTAGTCGAACGTAAGCGATCTGGCCGTTGAATGGTTCCCATGCCAGTATTGCAGGGTTTTCTTGTTCTGAGGGAGCAATAGCCACACCGCATCTACCAGACGAGTCGCGTGTGCCATTGTAATACAGGGTGAGGTGAGAATCGACTGCCGGGTTTTTTATCTCTCGGGCGCCAGAGTCGAGGATTCTGAATTCGGACAGGCAGTAATTAATGAGTACCTCTAATTGGACTTTATTCATGTTACAATTGGCCTATTAGAACTAAGGAGGAAAAATAGAATAGTATTGGATAAATAGAAAACGGTCAGAGTAAGTCTAGCATGACATCTACTAAATGGCGGTTAACGCTCGACATGTAACATTGCCGTCATTGGGACTTGCGGCATTTTATAAAGCATTCGGTGCATCGGGCATCAGCCATCCGCGCCCTGGCAACACTGTCGCTATGTGGTGATGTGGTACGACGGCCTTCTGACACAGGGAATGTAGTCGAATAAACATATGTGGTGAATGTATGTGCGTTTACATTGTGGGCAGTAGACGTGGATGTGGGTGGTATTTGTTTTCCAGTCTCTGTGCGATATATTCGCAAGTGACTAACCAGGCTGATGCGTAATGTGCATATGTAGAGGAAATTGGTGCAGAAAAGTTTGGGAATCAGAATCGGTTATGGAGGTTGTTTGGTTAGTGATGGCCGCGCTAGCCAATAGAGAGTTGTCGGTGCTACAGATGGAACTTTTTGGATGTGCCTGACGTTCTTGGTATGTCCGTGTTGCGGTGAATTTCGCCGCCATGAATGCGCATTTGTTCCAATAGGTCTACGATGGAGTGATTGTGCATGGGTTGCGTGGACAAGGAGGCGGATGAGGCAAGTGTATGCCGGTATCCTTGTCCTGGTGAACCGGTCTCTTTGCAACGGATTTGCAAGTGATTGATCGGCCGATGCGTAAGGTGAATGTTCAATCGTAATAAGGACAGGTTGAGATCGAGTCCCCATTGTTAGTGGAGAAGGTATACATTGTTGGTGTTTTGATGTTGCCTCAGGCTCGAAGGTGTTCCATGAGGCTGATCTGTGTGTTTGTTGATCTTAGAGGGGGTGGGGATGTTGAAGATGTTGATCGAACGCGCTTGAAACTTGCCTTAGCCTCTTTTTGGTTTTCACAGCGACGACCATGCTGACTTCATGGGTTACTGTTCCTGACTTCATAGCTCCTCCCAAGACTATTTACACCACCACCCGTGTATCTACATAAAGGTGTCTGCCGCTCGCCTCTTGATTAATCTGAATAGTATTAGGGTTGGCCATAACGGCGAGTCCTGCTGCGTTGAGTTGTTCTCATTGGCCCAATTGCCATTCCAGTGTCTTCTAAATTTATTATACTGAGTTGACAAAGAAGTCTGAATTGTATAATTTGACCCTGCTTGCGTGCTCAGTCTTGAGCCAGTAACTTTATTGCTGTGTTCCTCGGTTAACCCAAGAACTCTTCCGAATTCCCCTTTGACAACGGAGTTTACTGCCATTCACTCCCTGGCGGTGCTGTGTGCCCTATGGAGGCCAAGTACGCTTTCTTTCGGGTATAGGCGTGAGGCGACCTATTATTTTATCGGCAGACGACATAAGTCATCTTTTTTATAATAAATAACGCCACCGCCTCGTAAAGCACATTTTCTGCTGTCATCTACTCTGAGTCTCAGCATACCTGCATTTCGTTTCCAATTTATTTTTCAGCCTCGCTCTTCATTCGCTGTGTTACCTTAAAACTTCTTGTCAAAATGTTACTTCTCGTTCATCTATTGAGTCCAATGGCAGAATTCATCATGTATTTAGCATTTACGAGCGTAAACGAGGACTGATTTATCAAGTGTTTGGTGTACACATATCTTAGTCAAGTTTGAGATTGTGCAAATAAACTTGCACGGGAAATGTTTTTGTCAGTATCTGGAGCCTAATCCACCGTCCTACTCCCGCCCGGATACTTGAGAAAACTGCCTTTTAGTTTGTTCTTCTGGCAATTGACCACAAAATATCGCCACATTTTTTTGGTCAACGTCATTTGCCACCTCCCGTCCTTAAAGTAATTATTCTTCCCACGAAACTGCTAAAGCAAAAAAAATAGTTGTAGTAATTTTGCTCATTCAATAGTATTTGCACTAAATTGCATAGATGAAATAGTTAGTAGCTACTTAAATTTCTTGTGGATTTCATCTACACGTGGACAGTCAGAATGCATGGAGACGAATAATGTGTGATGAAGAATAAAGGTTCTGATCCCGAGCAGACATGGTCTGCGTTATGGTTTCACTTGTAGCAGTTTAGTATGCTGCGTAATGAAAATATGGGAATTTTCGGCTGGCCTCCGGCCATCGCTATTCTTGGCCACATGGATGCCCGCAATATCTTTAATGTACAGAGGGGTAGTCCCCTTAATTCAGAATTATGAGTATTCAGTTTAGCATTCAGACACTTATTGGCTATAGGCTTAGAAGTGATCTGAGATGGCTGACAACAACAGTAGAAGTTTTGGGGTTTCCTTTTGCCTTTACAAAGAACAAGTGGTAAAGCGCCCTTCTTCCAACTTAGTATTTTTTTAATTCAGCAGAAAATACTGCAAACCTTGTACTGGCTTTTACACATTTAATTGCCTTCTTCAAGAGCATGAAATGTTGTCAGAACGTATGACGACAGCGTTTCCTTAGCGATATCAGTATCAGTTTATTGAGGGG